AGTCTCTCCCAGTGCCCTCCACTCCCCTCCCAGTCCCTCCCAGTCCCTCCCAGTGCCCCCCAGTACCGAGCAGCGCCTGCAGGAGGTAGAACAGGACCCCCACGGCCCCGTTCGGGACGTTCACGGGGCTGTCCCGGCCCAGCACCGGCTCCACGAGCCCCAGGCCACGCCCCCACCTGCAAAAGAGGCGGGGCACTGCTGAAGACACGCCCACAGACACGCCCACGGACACGCCCTCACTGACCCCGATTGTGGGCGGATCCCACACCAGGCTCCTCCCAAGCCACGCCCCTCAAACAAAAACCACGCCCACCCCTCCCGCCATTGGCCACTGCCCTGCCCAAGCTCCGCCTCCTCTCGAAAACCACGCCCCTTCCTACAGCGCCCCCTACCGGCCCCGCCGCTCCCACCCCTCCCCTCCCCTCGCGCCATTGGCCGCCCCTCACACAAACCCCGCCCCCTCGCACAAACCCCGCCCCCTCGCACAAACTCCGCCCCCGCCGCGTGGCGCCCGCCCCCCCTCCTTCCCATCACGGCCATTCCCGTTATTCCCGGTCATCCCCCCCCGCCCTCCCCGGCGCTCACCGGGAGCCGAACACCCTGGTGCAGGACACGGCGGGCCCCAGGTCGCAGGCGGCGCGGTACGAGGGGTCCCGGGCGACCTCCCGCTCCACGTGCAGCGCGTACAGCGACAGCGCCGCGCCCGCCGCGCACAGCACCGCCCGCGCCGCCATTACCGCCCTCACGCCGCCGGCCCGCCCTCCCGCCCCTCCCATTGGACAGCGCCTCTTTGAACCTCTCTTCTTATTGGTTGGCAGGACCGTCCATCGCGCGGAGCGGCGGCTGATTGGCTCCTATCCCGTGCGGCGCGGGGGCTGACGGGAGTTGCGGTCCAGGCGGGCGCGGTGCGCAGGCGCGGTGGCGCCGAGGGGAGAGGGGGAGAGGCGCGCGAAAAAAAATGGCGGGAGCGCGTCCAAGATGGCGGGCGGGAGCTGAGTGAGGGGCCCGGAGCCAGCCCGCCCGGCGGAGCCGCCCCCGGCACCTCGAGGGACCCCGGGGGAGGGCGGTGAGTGAGCCCGGGGGGTGG